TTATCCTTCTAGACACAGTTAATATACAATGGAATGTGTTTTTCACCATAAGGCACTTTGAATTTATTTGGGACCTATGTTGAATAGCTAATCTCAAAATATAACGAGCTAGGTGGTGAAAGGGTTACACGTGTAAAGCCAGTTTCTGTGAATTCCACAGCAGGTTGGCAGCACATCAACAAGGTGCTATTTATACGACAGATCCTGTTGGCAGGCCTCAGACTGATAAAAGTCTTTCGGATGAAAGACAAAATGTTTCTTCCAATAATAATCTGTCCGGGTGACCTGATTTAACCTTTTCTGTGGCTTCGTGTTCAAATTGTGCTTATTTGTCATATGCAGGTTAACACAAGGTCAACACAAGGTCAACAGTACAATGAAAAGTTCAGGAAGAGAAGAACCGATTTGATTCGATAAAGACAAACAAATACTATAGGATGCAATAAGGGTACAAAATAAAGTACCAAATAATATTTACGAGATCCAAAATAAATATAGTAAATAAAATGGTAGAATATAACGATGCAAACAGGATGAATTTGTATGAATAAGTATTTCACAGGTAGTAATATTAGTTTAAATGTACATGATATATATATTTTAGTGTTCACGTTAACTCATTATTCTCGCGTTAACGCAACAAATGAATAACGCATTACTGTTGAGTTTCGCGCACGCGATAGACACATGACTGATTTTAGTCACTCTATCGGGGATTACGCAGCAACTCAGCGATGCCATTTTAATTTGTATCCAAAGTACAGACTCTACACACTAGTTTTTTAATCGTGCTGATAGGTCAAGTCAAACCAGAGTTACGATAAATAAATGAATCCACCACATCTTATTTCCTGAAAATCAGATCTGAAGCAGTTCTAGGCTGCAGCCATGAGACAAAACCCACCCTCTGCATTCACCTCCCACCCCCGCCGAACTGGTAAACAACCCGAAGTTGCACGAAGAGGAAAAACAAAACGTGAAAGTTGCACTGAGCCCCACCGGGAGGTCTGACTGCACAGAGAACACAGACACGGTCCAGAACCCCTTTGACTAGGCCAACAGAACCAAACATCAGATCTCTTGGTTCTGTTGGCAGGATGGATGGATGGATGGATGGATGGATGGATGGAAATCATTTAAATTAGATATATTTATTTGACGCTGGCAGCTCTAAGAAGTTTTTAGTGGAGGAAATATTAAGCATTTTTGAATATTAATGTCTGTAGTTACAGAAAACAAAGTTTTGAGCTGCATGCATTCAGCTGGAACTGCTGCAAAATAAAAAATAAAGATAAATTCATTGTGAAGTAATTATTATATTCTTGTAAATGTGTGTTATCTTGCTCTACAAATTGATTGACAGCTGCTGCTGATTGACTTCATGCCTGTGATGCTGGTAAGAAAATAGCTATTCACCTGTAAAAGGAGGACATCAGCCAAAACTGGTCTTTAATGCCGTGATGGCTGCTTGTTGTTTACAGAGGGCTGAGTGATGAAATAACAGTAGGTGCGGTAGTTGAATATGGAGACCCCCGCCCCCATTTAAAGATGGAAGGGAGATGGATTATTTACTCCTATGAATGTAAGAATATCAATAGAATCACTCATCCCCCGGCGAAGAGCAAAGAGCTCTTATGATCAATTGTTAGGTTGGTGGTTCTTCTTTTACATGTGAATACTGGTTCTGGCTCGCAGAAACTGGTTGATGACGGCTATTTGAGTTTTTAGCACCTCCTCAGACTGAAGAAGTCTTTTGAATAAAAGAAACAGAAAAATAAGAAGAATCTGTTCAGAAGACCTGATTCAACCTTGTTAGATTTATCTACCTGGATTGATTTAAAAAGTTTATTCTTGTAACATTTCAGAAAAAAAACATGTATATTTTGAATTTGTTGTTAATCTGGTATGATTGTGGTTTTGGGTTTGAAGGAATTTTTTATTTTCTCTCTAAAATAAACTAAAAACCTTTTGCCCTGGCAACTAGCTTTGGTTTCATATTTGATATGTTCATGTTTATGTTATTAGAAATACTTTGTTAGGAGAAAACTGCTGTTAAAAAGTGGCTTTTTAATGTAATGAACATTGTTTATATAAAACGGTACCTTAAAATGTTCTAAACATCGAGTCATAATTTAATTTTGCGCATACTAATGAGATTAATTACGATTAATCACAAAAATATTTGAGATTAATCACAATTAAAATGTTTAATCTTTGCCCAGCACTAATATCTATATCTATATCTATCTATATATATATATATATATATATATATATATATATATATATATATATATATATATATATATATATAGCACTTAACACACTACACGGATTGTGTGACAGGATACTGAACAGGTTGTGAGGAACATTGAGATAAATTATGATGGTAAGGCAGATATCAAAGGAAGAATACGGAAATGTATGGCAGCCCTTCCTGTCAGTTATTCGCCTAAAGCTGAGGCTCAGATTAATTCTTTAACTTTCACACCTGGAGTGAGTTCAAAAACAGCTGAAATCGCTTTGTATGTTTTTATTTAGCTGTAAACAAGTTACTTGATTTCTGTTTACGTGTCAACAGCGTGTTTTAATGGTCCAACCCGCAGCTTCCAACTGAAGCGGTGCTGGAGGAAACCTGCAGCCGTTTTCTTTTTCATACCTGCTTGCTCTGCGGTTTGGTCGAGTTTCAAATTGTTTTCTGACAGTTACAGAAACGTCCTGTTCAAAGTCCTCTCAGCCCAAACCCAAAGTTTGTAATTCCCAAACTTCCCCCACACACGTCGTTTACGTCACTGAACAGTGAATTCCTAAATACCCAGCTGAAAGCATCCAGGCAGTCTGACACAAACCAGCCCTGCAGCTCTTCAAAGTGTCGAGGCAAAGAGGTCATCAGACGAGAAAAACTGGATCAGCATTCTTAAAATGTTCATTTAAAACAAAGTTCATTAAAGTAATGGAGATGAACAATAAAATGTTAAAGCAGATTAAAATACTGGAAACAAATGTCCACCAGCTTGTCTCTCTGATGGACTGAGACCTGTCCAGGTGTCCATGTGATGGACTGGATACCTGTCCAAGTGTCCATGTGATGGACTGGAGACCTGTCCAGGTGTCCATGTGATGGACTGGATACCTGTCCAGGTGTCCATGTGATGGACTGAGACCTGTCCAGGTGTCCATGTGATGGACTGGATACCTGTCCAGGTGTCCATGTGATGGACTGGAGACCTGTCCAGGTGTCCCCCACCTCTCGCACAGTGACTGGTTGATATGGACACCAATGACCCCTACGACCTGAAAAGGAAGAAGCGGCTAAAGATAATGGATGGATGGATGGATGGATGGATGATCTAACACATGACTGAGAGACTCTTACTTTGAAGTCTCTGTGACCTCTATTTTGAAATGCAAAGGTGAATCATCCTCTTGTAAGACTTCTAACAAAATGTTCTAATTAAAATTGGCAAAAGTCTGAAGTTAGGATTTTAAATTAAAAATATTCAAGATGGCCACCAAAGTTAAATAGAAAAATATGGCTATAATCCGGCTATTTTTAGACATCGAGTTAAAATTTGGCAGCAAGTACAGAAAGTTAATATAAAACTCAAGATGGCCGCCACAGCTAATAATAAAAAGGCCGTCATTTTAAATCTTTTGAGTGGATTGTTTGTTTTTATTGTTCGATTCTTTGTTTCATGAAAACTTTGACCTCTAGAAAGCTGCGCGTGTCACATTAATTAAAAATACAACATACAAACCTGAATGATGATTGATGATTGAAAACCTTAGTGTCAACTGATCAAAAACAAATTAATAAAACACAAAAGACAACAAAAATATCTTGACATGTTAATTTTTCAGCATAACTATTATTTTTTTCATCGGCTTGAAGAGAAAATGGAGACATACATGGAATAAAAACGTGCCAAAAACTCTTCTTTCAAAAGGGATTATACATTTGAACAAAAACAACGTACTATCCTAAAACAATACCGTTTTTAAAATGTTTATTACAATTAATTTACAGATGCATTCTTTTAAACAAGCATTTGAATTAAATTGTCACTTTCTGTAAAATATTTGGATTTCTTTAACAAAAATAAAATGCCTTTCCATGCTTTATTTTTTTATTTATTTTCTTGGTTCGGTTTTGTAAAGTCTCTTATTGCTGATTTAAATGAAAAATGAGTGTTAGCTTTAAAAAATGTTCACCTGTTATTCTTTTATAAGCAAAAAAAAAAAAAAAGTTGCTGAGTATCAAAAATGCTTAGCTGAAATTTGCTGAAGAAGCTGAAATGTAGTTGGTAAAGCTAAAAGAATGCTAGACAAAAGCCTAAAGTACCAAAATGCTAGCTAAAGGGTTAAAGTAGCAAAACAGTAGCTAAAAGTAGCTAAATCTAACAAAAAGAAGTAGCACCTACTAGTACACAACAGCTAAATGATCAAAATCCTTGAAAGCTAAGATTAATAAAAGGTTAACTAAAACTAAAAGGCTAGCAAACAGCTAAATGAACAAAATGGTAGCTAGAAGCTAAAATTAGCAAAATGTTAGTTCAAACTTAAAGTAGCAAAAGGTTTGATATAAGCTAAGATTAGTATAGCAAACAGCTAAATGTAAAAGTAACCACATGCTCACTAAAAGCTGAAAAGTGTTAGTTCAAAGCTAAATATAGCAAAAGGTTAGCTAAAAGCTCAAAGTTTTACTTTGATCTGTTTTTGGCTTTTATAAATTATTTATTCTATATTTAAATTTTATCGTTCTACTGAATTGAATAATTACTATACATTAAATGTTTTAGTAGCTGAAGGTTTTGTTTTTTTATGAGATACATTTAGGTATGTACGTTTAGCATGTTGACATTCTTTTGTAAAGTACAGACACGGGACAGGAAGTGTAAATAATTGACTTTACGTGCAGAACCTCTGATGAATACATCTCAGAGAATTTCTACAGCTGATGGTTGGACCTGGCCAGGTGAGACCAGGCTCCATTGAAAGTCTCATGAGGGGACAAACAAAGAGAAGACAACCAGTGGGATGGACAGCAGCAGAGGGATGGACAGGGAGACAAGATGAGCTGCTGCACTGAACTTGACAAAGCCCGGCTGCGCTCCGGTGACCTGGCTGCTGATCCAGGACTGGTACTTCGAGACTTGGGCGTAGACTCCGGGGTACTTAGGTTCACCACAACCAATTCCAAAGCTCACCACACCGGCCTGGACCCACCTGGTGCTGTTAATAGTGACCAACGGGCCGCCGGAGTCCCCCTGAACACACCAGAAAAAATTCAGATGAGTCAAGTTGACAAGATGACTTTGCAGTTTTAAGGTTTTACACATCAGGACACAAAAACATTTTTTTTTCTATTTGACTTTAAAATGAGATGAAACCAGCCTGAGAAGAGAAAAACCAACAACTGAACTAAATGGAAAGTTGTAGCTTTCATCTCCAACTCCTCCCACTGAACCACTCCAGCTCCACCCATTGACCCACTCCAGTTCTACCCATTGACCCACTCCAGCTCCA